GGCGCTGAGGGCTGTCTCAGAGCCGCCCGGCTGGGCTCCTCTGTGCTGGAGCAGCTGGTGCAGCAGGTGCTCCCCGGGGAAGACAGGGGTGCTCTTAGTCTCCACAGCGGGAATATATTAACTGTAGGGCTTTAATGATATGGGTTAGTCTGTGAAAGCTGCCAGACTAAGCAGAGGAAGATACATCTCTAAATGTTTTGATCAGGATCTTAGTTCTGTAGACGTAGCGGGTGGTTGCAAACTGCGCTTCTTTTTAAAACCGGGCTATCAGATAACAGATGGGGTCTTGTATATGGAGACACAGCTCTCGTGTTCTCGTCTGGGTACCGCTCTGTGGAGAACCTGTAGGGCACAGAAAAACATAGTAGCGAAGTAAGACTTGCTCCAGTGAGCTGGCCTTGGTAAAACTAATGTTAATGCGCCTCAAGTGAAAAGCTCTGTGTACTCAGAGGCTGCTCAGCACTGTCTTCAGTGCTTCAGGTTCTTTGCTATTGCCTTTATTTGTGCTTGTGTTAATTCTAATGTAAGAGGCCACTAGGTGCATTTATCTTTTTAATCGTTGGGTCAGGTAGCAGTGGCTCTTGGTATATGGCCAGATGACACTTGCATTTTCTACACGAGACCATTAAACATATGATGTATATCGATTGTGCAGCAGCTTATGAGAGCAGATGTTTAAGTGATAATTTTAGCTTCAGGGTTGTTTAGGAGAAGAGGGGGAAAGTTTCTAACTGTAATAATTGCACTGAGAATCTTGAAAATCAAATAATCTAAAGCCTATATTGAAGAATCTCCAGCAAAATTTTAAATGTAGTTTATTTGTAGTTTATTTTATTTTAATGCAAACCCTATTTTTTTAAAGTGTTAATATTGATTATATTTAACTGTTTTTTGGCTTGTCTAATCAAAATATGCATTGGGATAATTTTTAAGTAGGCCCTGTTCCTTCAGGCCTTCCTGTGCACGACAGAAAAGCTGACTCCTATTACATTCATAAGGACAACCTGTGTGCAAAAGGTTTTTGGAACAGTAATGTCAGTTTCTCAGAGCACAGGTTGGTTCTTGCTGGTCAATTTTCTTTCCAAAGCTGCAGGTTAATATCATAATTGCAGCATAGTCTGGTGTATATGCATTTGTTTTTTTTTTTTTTTTTCCTTTGGTTACTAGTCCTCAAGCACCAGGGATGAAGTTCTAAGAGACAAGCGTGCCCAAATCCTGTCACGTGGCCTTCCAAAACAAAAACCAATAGAAGGAGTTAAACAGGTATTGGTTTTGGCTTCAGGAAAAGGGGGAGTTGGAAAATCAACAACAGCAGGTAAGACCTTTTCGGTGCAATTTGTTGTACTTTTATGATATTTTGTAATACATATCGGAGTACTTATATGCTAATGCAGTTTCTGAATTTCATTCAGCTGGAAACAATAAAACCTGACAGATCAGTTCCGTTTTGCTGTAATCTGTAAACTTTAAAAGTTTATTTTTACTTCTAAAGTTTTTCTTCATGCCCCACTCAAAGAAATGTACTTTTTTTTTTTCCCTCTGCTCCCGTTCTCCTTTTCTTGTATTAAATAAATAACACTAATGTACCTATTTGGAAGGTTTCAAGATCAGGCCTCTAATTACTGTTTTTATGTGCAGTTTGTGGGTAGTAGAACAAGATGGTACAGGAGTTACCAGTACTACGGAAATTCACTTAAAATTAAACAAAGGTGACAGAAAAGGTAAACCTCTTTGAAAACATCTCCATTAAGTTTTATAAATCTATTTAAATATCTCATCTTAGCATCCAGGTTAGGGAAAATGGTCTTCCCTCAGTTGAATGTTTTCTGCTTAAACCGCAGATCTTTCTAAAGTCTTCCGTTCATCTCCATTTGCTTTGAATAATAGATTAATGTAGTTCTTAAGTTCTTCATTTGTAGTTTGTATTTCATCCATGCTTGGAAAGGATTGACTATCTATAAATATCAAAAAAAACAAAGATGTCATGCATAGGAAGAGTAGCTATGATCCAAAAAGTATGGACTGAAGATACTATTTTTAGACTTCACCTCTATAAAGACATGCAAAACAGTCAATATTTATGGTTCATAATGATGTACCTTTTCCTTCATGGTTATAAGTCAGTGGTTGGTTGGTTGGTTCAGGTTACTGAAAATACTTGAATATCTGTTTCTAAATCAATGATAAGTTCAGCTTATCCCCCTCATGTCTGTAAATCTAGGTTTCACTACATGGTGCCTGAACGTGATAGGTACGTGAAGTGCAGAAAGCGTATAAACGTTTGCATTTAAAAAACTGGAAGTTCTTATCCATGCATTTAAAACCAAAAAAGCAGGAATCAACAAGTCTTTAATAAGAGAGCTGAGATATAAATGAACTGTTCAAATGTTAATATATTCGAAAGAGACTTTTGTTAATGAATGTGTGTATTTATAATAATGAGAAGAAAGCAGAATTTGTATTCCTGTTTATTCAAATGAGAATAAACTTAATGGTTCAGATGAACAACTGAATATCAGGTAACTCATATAAAAGAAAGTTGCATGGCATGATTGCTGAAATATGTATTTAAAATGCTCTTAAATAATGTTCTACTTGGTAATGGGGGCTTTTGGGAAACATGTATAGTGACAACTCTGACTTATTTTGGGAACAGGAGTTGAAATGGGAAGGAGGGTTAAAATGAGTTGGTATCTAATTCCTAAAATGCTACAGAAAATATCATCAGTTTTATTGTCTGCATCTCTAATGGACTTTCAAAGTTTTCTTCTTTCTTTCTTAGCCTATGTGTTTATATTTCAGTTGTCCAGCTCTCCTTTTGAGGACAAGGCATTTTGGTCAAGTCTGTCATGGCTCTTCTTTAACTTGTTTTAGCATTTCTGTTGAATAAAGTCTTTCTGTTTGTCAGATACAATTTTCAAACTCTATTCTCTGTTGCTTTTGGTACTTCTTGGTCTTCCAAAATAATTTAGTTTATGGTTAAAAGAAATTATTTTATATGAAAAATATTTTTCCATCTATGTTTAAGTATGTTTAGATTTTATGGTTGTTTTGCCATACTTTCGTTTGCCTATTATGAGTTTTTTTTTTTTTTTCTTTGTTTGCTACCTCTTCCCTACTTCATTTATCGTCCCAGTCAGGTATCTCTCTTATAGCAAGATTCCTGTGCCAGTTAAGCTATATTTACTCAGTTGGGCCAAACTTTTTTTTTTTTTTGGCCAACTTTGCTATCTCTTCTTTTGCATTACCCTAAAGATGGGAACTGTTTCAAGTGATGCTGGCATGAGGAGAGATCAAAGTGTGGATTTATAAGAAGGAGAATGTATTGTTCACTGAAACTCAATTGTTTTCAACTGTGGAAGTGGAATAAAATCAATGACCAGTGTTCTTACTTGCATTTTGTTAATCCCACGGTTTGAAGAAGATAAAAACTGCTGTTCTTCTGCCTTGGCCTGCTTAAGACCTCCGCAAAGGCTAACAGGCTGAGACTTTTCATTATTGTTTAGGAGAGCGGATAAAGTCAATACATAGTCAAACGTATGCTAGACATATTAACTGAGTTGTT